AATATGACTGAAAATTTCATTTTTTCTGAAAAGGTGGTGTCTATTTACTTGTGACCATGCTGTGTACATGCACCACAGTGAAGTTGGGATAAAAATTATCCAATATGGACTGGAATATCTGGAGAGGGAGGAAAAACATAAATTAGAAGTAGGGAATGAATGAAGAAATCGAGAAGTGATTATTGAACAAGCAGTATAGGAGTCAGCTGCATTAGAAGGATGTATCGCAATTCTATTGGTAGAGGGTTGTCACATGCTCATTTGTATTAAACAGTACAGCAATATCAAGTGAAACGTGATTTTAGGTGGAAATCTCAAAGCTAGCGATGAGTGAAAATTTGGCATAATATAAATATTTAAATTATAAGCTACATTTTCATGTGAAGCATACTGATATACATTTATAATAAAGTTGTTTAAATACATTTTGAGTGTTATGTTGAAGAGTTGTAATATGCACATAACCCACTAAAAAATGTTCAAGTCCAGATATTTTTTTTTTCTAAGGTGAACAGCTATTAACAACAAATATCTTACCAAATTCAATTTTCAAGTTAATTATATTCAAATCAGAAACACTGATAAATCTCTCACTTATTAATACACCGTGGTTTCCTACTGTCATAAAAACTTGATAAAGATATAGATTTACCTCAAACATCTTGTTCCAATTCCATTAGAAGACTGTACACCTTCAAGGAGATATTCTATGTCATCATTGAATTCCTGTGTTTCTCCAAATTCATGGCACTGGTGGGCTTGTTTTACATTTCTCACCACAGTATACAGCTAAAATGCAAAAAAGAAAATAAGAACTTTTTAAACTTCCCAGATGAAACATCTAAATATCAACAGAAATACACTAATTACAAATATACTGCCCTGAAAACATTTTTCAAACACTACTTTTATTATATCAGTAATGAAAAATTAAAATTTAACTGCTCTATTTGAGGACAAAATGTAGACCAAATATGTATGAATTACAAAAATAATACTCCAGGAACATAATTTTCTTTGCAAATAGAAGAAAAATAATGACAAGATGATTAATGAAAAAGAGTTTCACAGTTAAACAAATTAAATATATATGGAACAAACACACCTTCTTAGAAGCTTCAAAAACACCATATATAGATATTTTAAAACAGTTTAATTCTCTCTCTCTCTCTATTACCAGACTAACTTTCAGAATGCAATCTAGTGTTACACTACATAACATTGAATAATAAGTTGCTTTTTCTATATGAATGAAGTTGCTTTATTAAACTGGGTTCTTAGCTAAACTTATCTGATAGTCATCAAACAAGTTTACATGCTCAAAAAAAACTCTCGCAAGCAAGAGAAATAACTGAAGTGTGTTGAAGTTAAATACAAATTAACATGGCTTTAGACATTTGACATTTCTAAAATTGTTAGATTTTGTTTAGAAGATAAATATGCCAGTCATTGTCAAATTGCCACAGCAGAAGGCAACATACAGCATTAAAACTGTCTTAAAACCTATCTGAAAGATATACAGATTTGCACAAACCAAACATCATAAACAAGTAAAAATATATAAATACAGAAGCTGACACTAGGGGTTTTTTCACAAGACATTTTTACACAATGTGAAAGATTTTATACAAGTAATTATTTAAGTGGACATACAACAGCATACAAGTGCATGTTGATACAAGTTTTTCTCTCTCTCTCTCTGTATTGTTTATTCTTTTCTCAATTGATAGTTGTGTTTTATGCATCTTATAATGTTGCAAACTTATCTTTCTTCATGTCATCTTGTTTAGAAATAACTAGAAGGCTTTCAAAATATATAAACATTTTTGGTCTGCAAAGAAACTGACTGATAATACTGTTTTGTAATTCATGTTCATTTATGTCTACAATACAACAATTCTCGTCATTGTTGTATTAAAAACAGTCTGTAAAACAATGTTTTAAGAGCAAGTAACTTTATTTTACTTTGTACTTTCAAACTCTTGTATTAATTTTTTTTATTTTGTATCCTGTACAATTATAGCACTTTGTTATAAAATAGAAAAACTTACTTTGTGTCATCATACAATCTAGCCTAAAATCAAATAGTGGCTGATTCTGCTCTATCAATTCTTTTTATACGGGGGAACTAATAATTTGTGGTATTCAATAACTGCACAGCACAGAGGCTACAGCATGCCATGTGGCACAGAGCTTTTTCTTGCAATAACATGAACTGCAGTTGTACCAGAAAGTAACAATATGGTAGAAGACTGATAACTGACTACCATATGCAATACTCTAAAATTAATAAATTATTCCTTCTTCTGTGAATGAACAGAGTACATATAATGCTTCACTCCTTGCTAACCAATTTCAGCCACTCCTACACACTGCTCAATGCTGTCACATATTTATAAGATAAAATAAAACAAATGTGAAGAATTATATAAATTCCACTTTAGCCTAACTTTAAAAATAAAATCAAACCTATAGAAAGTTCTTAACCACACAACAAAATTTACATCAATATATTTTACTATAGCATCTTATGCCAATGCAGTTAAGATTATACTGAGCAAACAGAGAGATCACAATTTATAAACATTACCTATATTGAGATGGTGATGGTTTTATCATCATCCCATTCCTATGAAGCAATACATTGCAGCATTTACTATAATTACAAATTGACTAAATGCATCTTAATAAACAAAATCAATACCTTTTTTACTATTAGTACAAATTACACATCTGTTGTACACAAAAAGACATAGTTGTTATAAAGTTATTTTACTACAATATTTTCTGCACATTTATGGAGTCAGTCTCGCTCAGACTGGCTGGTCTGAGTGCAAAGTGATTTTGACTACTAAGATAAAAACACTTTTCATATTTAATCTGCATAGCCTGTAGAACCATCATAAATTAATATCAAAAAATTTTAAAGGAAAAACTTCATACTTTATCTGTTTATTTTCTCTACCTAACACTAACTGTAGTTCAATCATTATTGTACAGTTAAGCTGAAATTTTGAAAATTATCAAATAAAATGAATTTACTTATTTCAATAATAATTGATATATTTTCAAAACAGGACTTTATGCTTTTCACAATTTCTGAAGGTTACTTTTTCACATTCTATATTTTTAATTATATAGTTTTATTGCATGGCTTGTAAGACATTAAAATTTTTCTCATGCTTGAAAAGGGACATCATATTTTGAACATTACATAAGCTTTAGACTCGCATACTCATTGTTACGTAAGCCTAAAGTCTCCCCACCCCAAGTCTTTGTTGAAATAAAAATTAATTTCCCTTTCAAATATGTATTTTAACTCTCTCAATACCGGCTATGTCATTATGACCAACCTTGCAACCATGAAAGTATCCACACTATAACTTCTAATAAAGCATGTGTATCTTCACAAAATTTGGTAAGCTTTTACCAAACATGACAAGTCTTTTATACATACACACACACACCAATCAATTTTTAAATAAAGTATTTTTACTAAAGATTTGTTTTCAAATACATGGATTCAAAGTGTTGACTAGTCCAAGTTCAAGGTGATTTGCACTTTAAGATTAAAAATATTTTTTTCATCTTTAAGTTTTCATATTTCATATGCATAAACTCTAAAACCTCCTAAATGAGCTTCAAATGATTTTTTCAATAAAACTATGTATTTTATCTGTTATTTCCTCTATTCTAAATCTATACAGATTCAGTTGATTTGACTGATCTTGTAACCATCACAAAAAATATGAAACAAGTCTAACTTATCCTTTTTTTTTCTTCCTACAGTGACTGCAGATTATAGTTTTTATCCTAAATAACTTTAGGCTCATAACAGTTTAAATCTATTTCTACTTAATTTTATTGTTTTTTAAACTGTGTTCAACTAATAATCCAACACACAAGATCTAATAATGCTTGGAGACGGCTTGAATGGGTAATGAAGGAAAGTTTTAATATAAGTTTAACATAACAAATGTGCAACATTTGGACAAGGTTTTGTCATCATCAGGTACAAGTAACTGACACAGATATATATACAGTATTGAACAAAGAGGTTACATGACTGGATACTGTTGCAAAACTTAGAAGAGGAGTCTTGGCACCCCAGGGTGTTGGTTTAGAGTA